GTTTCCCCGACTGGAGTGGGGAAGGGATCGGAAGGCTTGCGCGAGGAAGGGGCTGGATACGGGGCAGGTCCGCTCTCCTCCTCCTCTGGGGTGTATCTACTCCCTGTCCCCTCCTCTTAAGCCCCCCTGACTTCCTCATTTTTACCATTCGGGAGAGGGGAGCCAGACCAGAAGGTCCAGAGGCCAGTGTGGCGGTTCTCCTTGCCCACGCCCCCTTTCGCTTCCTTCATCTAAAGTTCCCAGAACCCGTCCCCATCCGTGCGCAGCTGGGTCCAGAGGAGCGCATCTCTGGTCTTGCTCAATCTCACCAAGTCCTGGCACATGAGCTTCCCCTGGGGCGCCCCACCCCCCCCCTCCCCCGGGAGGGAAGAAGACACGGCAGAGTGGGGTTTCCTGACTGCAAAGGGAGGAAGGAGGCAGGAAAGGGAAATTTTACCGAGCATCGAATCTGTAACAGGGGATTGTGCCAGAGGCGTGCCAGACGTTAACCGTTCCGATCCCACAAGAATCTTGGGGAGGAGCTTTGGATGGCGGACTGAGGCTCAGAGCCGGGCCGTGGGCTTCCCAAGTTCATGGGTGTGCTGAGTGCAAGGGGCCAGAATTCTAGACCACCCTGGCCTGGCCATCTTCAAGAAAGGGAACTGGATTGAATCCCATCACCTGTAAATCTCATTGCCACACACGGTGTGAATTCACACTCACAGTCTTTTCTTTTTCTTTTCTTTCTCTTTATTTGCTTAATGTTTATTTATTTTGAGAGAGAGAGAGCGCGAGCAAGTGGGGGAGGGGCAGAGAGACAGGGAGACACAGAATCCGAAGCAGGCTCCGGGCTCCGAGCAGTCGGCACAGAGCCCTACTCCCGGCTTGAACTCACAGACCGTGAGATCGTGACCTGAGCCGAAGTCAGACACTTAATCGACTGAGCCACCCAGGCGCCCCAAGATAGGGTCAATTTTTATTAAGGCCATCAAGAGTAGGGTGTCAAGAAAGGCCTTACTGGGAAGGTGATATATGAGCAATGGTCTCCAGGAGGTGAGGGAGCAAGTTATGAGGAGCCCCAGGAGGAACAGGGCTCCAAACGGAAGGCACAGCAGGTGCAAAGGGTGGAAGAATGTCTAGGGTGTACAAGGGTTCTCCATTCGCCAGACTTTTTATGGAGACCTGAGCTAGAGAGGAGTAGATGAGTCACAGAGGGAGAAGGGAGGCCGCCAATTCATCAGGGCACTTAGGCTATTGTTAAGCGTTTGTTTTCACTCCAAGTTGGAGGGGCAGACTTTGGAGGGGTCGGAGCAGAGGAGGGAATGACCCGACTTGTATGTGAACTCGCACGTGTGACACCTGTGTTGTGAATCCCACGAAACGAGTCAAGGGCGGAAACGGCGCGCTGTGCTCGGAGGCGGTGAGAAGGGTTCTGATCCTGGATAGGCTGCGAAGGTAGAGTTAACAGGATTCTGCTGATAAATTTCGTGTGGGTTTCACACACACACACACACACACACACACACACACACACACACACACAAAAGTAGTTCTCCTTCCAGGCCCCAAAATAAAGTACACTTAGAGCATTTCCCATAAATTGCTGAGTCCTGAGGAAAAACCGCTTTATCCCTGACTTTTGCAAAGCCGACGCCTAAAGATATGTGATGACCTTTGGCAACTGCGTTCATCGTGTGGGAACAGTGCTGTGTTGTCATCATGAGCAGGTTAGAAGCTTGTTAACACTGATGACGGTGCAGCTTTCCTCCCAATCCCTCCCGAGGTTCTGTTCTGTGAGCCCGTCCTCCCAAAGGCCGATCCCTTCCTGACTTCTTCGCAAGTTGCCCTCTTTTCTTTCCTAAATGCTTCTGCCTCTGAGGCCTTTGGAGGCTTCTGCCTTCTTGAGCATCATAGCTTCCATCTTCCACCGCTTTCTCCCTGCTGCCTCTCCCAGCACCTCAGCTGGCCAGGATTTCTTTATTTTTTTTTAACGTTTATTTATTTTTGAGACACAGAGAGACAGAGCATGAACGGGGGAGGGGCAGAGAGACGGGGAGACACAGAATCGGAAGCAGGCTCCAGGCTCTGAGCCATCATCAGCCCAGAGCCCGACGCGGGGCTCGAACTCATGGACCGCGAGATTGTGACCTGAGCTGAAGTCGGACGCTTAACCTACTGAGCCACTCAGGCGCCCCATCCAAAGACATAAACTTTTAAAAAAGAGAGGAGAGAGAGAGAGAGAGAAAGACTGGAACTTAGAAGAAAAATGGGTCTTGAGGGTTTTCGCACACCACGTCCTTCTGTTTAACGGCCCGTTAAATGACTCCCCTGGTGATGCCTTTTTGAGCTGCGGATCCTTCAACTGGATTAA